AGAGGGTGTGTACAGGATCCGGTTGTTTTGTTGTAATCCGCTTTCCCTTGCAAAAAACAATAGAAAATTACATTTCTTGTTCTAATATAATCAATTTCAAGAATCCCTTGCAAAAAATAAGGTAAAGTGGACATTCGCGCGCGCAAGACGAAATCCTTCCAAAACCTTAGTGTTCGCAGCGATTTTAACATAAAAACATCAAAAAACCAATGGTTTTTCAACAAAAAATTGTCAAAATCTCATCCCGCGCGCTCTTGCGGATTCGTAGGAAACCCAACACTTTTTAAACATTTCTGTCAAACGGGCTTTTGCGAGCAACTTTTTCGAACTTCTGCGACAACGGTTGCGCACCTGCCAGGGCCATCATCCCTGTCAAATAATACCATGCGGGACACATTCGTTTTTTCTTCGCGCGCGCACGCCGTCGTCGTCGGCCGCGGGGCCCTGAATAGTAGCCACGGTCGTCCGCATGCCACGAAGTGAAGTGTCCGAACGTCATAGGGCGGGAAGCTGGGTGTGGGTGGTGGCGAAGAGTCGTTTGGAAATTTGGTAGAGCTTGAACCGGCCCCCCCACAAAGTGGGGGTATTGCCCGCCTCCTATGAAAACCCTAGCACTGGTGAGAACGGAGTGTCCCCACGTGCTAGTAATTGTTGTTGTTGTTGTTGTTGTTGGTATTGTTCTTGTTGTTGTCGTCTTGGCGGCCCTGGGGCGAGTGAGGGCCTCCGGATGTGCAGAGACTTGCCGATGATGTTCTGGCATGATGTTGTTTCTTGTTTGCACGGCGAGAGGAGACTTGGGACAAAAAGTGCAGGACGAGGAGGAGGATGAGGCCGAGGAGGAGGAGGAGGAGGTTGAGGAGGAGGTTGAGGAGGGGAAGGAGGCGGAGGAGGTGGATGGTGACGGTGGTGGTGACGGTGATGGTGATGTTTGTGGTGTTGCTGCTCCTGCTGCCGATGATGCTGCCGATGATGACGACGACCAATATCATGATGAGGAAAGTGATGCTGATGGTAATCATGATGATGTAGGTATTGATGCTGCTGATGATAGTGCTGATGATGTTGGTAAGCGCACCCTGGGCTCGCTAAAGGCGGGTTGACCCTCCCCGAGTATCCTGTGTGATGTGGTTGGTCCCCTTTCTCTCTCTCTCCTTGCCGGAGCCTCGTTTGGAGTTTGCAGGGGATGCAATCATGTGCAGAGCGGGCCTCGCACCTCTGATCCCGAGCCCCGCCTCTGTCTCCTCTGGACCCGAGGCCCACGTGGAGCGGGCGGGATTCGGGACGGTGTGTGTGTGTGTGTGTGTGTGTGCTTGTGTGCTTGTGTGCATGTGTGCTTGTGTGTGTGTGTGTGAAGTCTGCTCATCTCGTTCTGAATTCCATATATGCTGCTGCCGTCTCGGCTCAGGTACGGGACACAGGTACAGCGCCGCCCGCCCGCGGCGCATGGGGAAAGAGATCGCTACCCTCTCCTCTACCTTCCTCGCCCTACGGCAACCCTTGAAGGTTCGATTCTTTGGTCGTCTACCTACACGCGCACATGACCCCCCACCGCATGCTCCGTGTAAAGAAGTGTTCCCGGACCTGCCCATGGAACCATCCAGACTCACTATTCGCGTTTGTTTGTGTGGGGGGAGGGGCGGGGCTCCCAAGAGCAACGGCAGCAGCAGCAGCCGCAGCAGACGTTCCGCAGGGAACCCCACCGAAGGCTCCAGCGGCACAGCCCGCATGCGGGCGGCGCCCCGTAGGGATTGTCAACAAGAATCGTATTCACATTTGCGGTATTTACATCTCCAAATGGTAGGGTTCTTCGCCGGCTTTCTGTCCCCCTTCAAGTTCTTGGCGTTCTCGCCTTTTCGGGCTTCAGTCGGTTCGGAATGGCGCGAGAGGCTCCAAAAATGGCCGCACAACCGCCCAACAAGGCTTCAAGATGGCCCAGGAGGCCTTTTCGACGGCCCCATCACGGCTTAGGAGGGATCCGTAATGGTTTGACATTGGCCCAAGAGGGGCCTCCGGAGGGGTTCGGGACGGCCCACAATGACCCCTGGACGGTGCTACATGGCCTCACGACGGTCCCAAGACATCGCCCAGACGGCCGCGAGGGCCCCACGATAACCCCACGACGGCCCAAGAGGGCCCCGACCCAGCGCAAGGGAACCGCAATGGAGGCCCAAAACTGCCCCACAGGAGTCCAGGACAGTTCCCAGGCAACCCAAATAAGGTACATGAAGATTCGCCGGAAAGTGAAGACGAACTGTGTCACATGTGCTCTCCTCCACAGAGGATCTAAGAGGCTCGCCAGAGGCCCCAAGATACTCGTCAGAGGAGTCAAGAGGCTCGCAAGAGGCCCCTGAAAGCTATCCAGAGGCCCCACGAAGATTCAGGATTCAAGAGGCTCGTCACAGGCGCATTGTCGGCGCGGGGAGGAGATTTGGCTTCCCCTGCCTGCAGGCTACCCGCCCTCCTTCCTGGCCATAGAACACCCACCAGGCCACACAAACACGCAACGCGTCACACAAACACCTTCTTCCGGGGCGGGGAGTGGGGGGGTGAGGAAACAGAAAGCCAGATGACGAATCAGAGGGGGATGGTCCAAGGGGAGGAGGAAACGGCGGAGGCGACGAGGAGGAGGATGTGTAGGAATGGATGAAGGAAGAGGGCACGGAAATAGATGGCCAGGGAGAGGGAAACGAGGGGGATGATGGGCATGAGAAGGAGGAGTGAGAAGAGTAGGGATGTTGATGATGATGTTCATGATGCTGATGTTGATGTTGCTGATGTTGGTGATGATGCTGATGCTGATGATGCTGCTGTTGCTGATAATGATGATGGTGTTGATGATTATGATGCTCAGGATGATGATGATGATGATGATGGTGATGGTGATGATGATGCTGATGATAACGATGATAATGATGGTAATATGACGATTTCAGTGATGATGATGATGATGATGCTGGTGCTGGTGATGGTGATGCTTATGTTGATGTTGATGGTGCTGATAATGATGACGGTGATGTTGATAATGATGTTGATGGTGGTGGTTGTGGTGGTGGTGAGTAGGAGGGAGAGGAGGAGGAGGAGGAGGAGGAGGGAGAGGAGGAGGGAGAGGAGGATGAGGACCAGTATGACTGGGAACAGGAGGTGTATGAGGATGAACAAGAATGGGGAGGTTGGGGGAGGGAGGAGGAGGCGGGAAAGGATGATATTGAGTACGAAGAGGTGGACGAGGAGGTGGAGGAGGAGGAGGAGGACGAATACTGAATCATCGGCTCAGAGAGTTCAGTCTATGCGTGTACAAATGTAGCTGCCTTTGGCTCATGATCCTGTTGATCCCAGTGTGTTCCAAGGACTGTCAGCGCAATGCTTCGAATTCTTTACGCTTCGCGTAGCCCCGCCATCCAATCCAGATCTGATGCCCAGAGAAGGTGCCCTGAACGGGGAGCGTGGCATCATTTATGGAAATCGGGTGCCTGTGTGGGCCAGGGACCCGTTGGATGCTTCCTTGGGTCTCTTGGGATGCCTCTTGAGGGTCCCGTTAAGGCATTTTGGGGCGTTTCGATAACCTTTTTGCTGGCTCTTGGGGAGGTCATTTGAGCATCTTGGGTGCTCTCGGAGCCCTCTTGAAACATTTTGGGGGCGTTTGGGGCTCTCTTTGGGCCCTCTTGGGAGTCTCGGAAGCCTTCTTGGCACCATCTTTGAGGACATCGATCAAGGATTAGGAGTCCCTGAATTGGTGCTGCCCTTCTAGAGCCCCCCTGTTTGGGCTCTCTTGGGGCGCTCTTTGGGGGTATGTTGGGCGCTCTTTGAGCCCTCTTGTGCCTCTCGTGGGTCTCTCTGGGGCCCTCTTGGAGCCATCTTGAGGCCTCGGACGGCGATCGGAAGCGAACCGGCGAGAAGGCCCAATCTATTGAGTTTCCGTGGGTTCTGGACTGATGTTGGCCCCTTTGGGGTGTCCGGGGGAGCCCCCAAGGATAATTGGACCTGTTCTGGAGCTTTCTTGGGACCTCTTGGAGTATGTTGGAAACCATCTTGAGCGATCGTGCGGTATCTTGGACCATCTTGGAGAACAGCTTGGTCTGAGTGAGGCCCTCTTGTCTCTGGGCCATCTTGGACGGTTTACCTACCCGCCGCCCCTCCTCCCCAGATCCTGGGGGACGGGGCAGGGAGGGGTCAAGCCGATAGCTGGGTCGCTCACTCCCACCCGCCCTCCCTTTGCATAAGTCGCTTCCGAGTTTGAGCACAGGCAGGGCCGACATCAACAACCATCGGGAGTCAATCCAGACGTCAGCCAGGTGCGCGATGCCCGCGAGGTGCGCCGCTCGTGATGATAATGAAGACCATGACCGTACTAATTGCAATGATGATCATGGTGATGGTGATGATGGTCATGAGCATGATCATGCTTATGCTGCTGATGATGATGATGATGATGATGCTGATGATGATGATGATGATGATGGTGTCGGTGATGATGATGATGATGATGATGATGATGATGATGTCGGTGATGTTGTTGATGCTGATGTTGACGATGTTTGTGGTGACAGTGATGAGGATAACGATGATGATGCCGAGGATGATGATGACGATGGTGATGATCATGATGATGATAATGATGATGGTGACGATGACGATGATGGCGGTGATGATGATGATGCTGGTGATCATGATGATGATGATGCTGATGATGATGATGATGACGATGACGATGACGATGACGACGATGACGATGATGATGATGATGATGATGATGATGATGATGATGATGATGATGATGATGATGATGATGATGATGATGATGATGATGATGATGATGATGATGATGATGCTGATGATGATGATGATGATGATCATGATCATGATCATGATCATGATCATGATCATGATCATGATCATGACCATGATGATGATCACGATGGAAGGCTAACGAGGAGCAGGAGGAGGAGGACGAGAAGGACAAGGAGGAGGAGGAAGAGCGAGAGGAGGAAGAGCGAGGCGGAGGATGCCGCCCGCGAGCCCCGCGCCCCTCCTGCAGCGCCCCGCGCTCCTCGCCTCCCGCCAGGCGGGGTGCGGCGAGAGCGACAACTCGCCGTGCTGGCACCACTGCTGCGACCCGGCGGCGGGCCTCGCTCCTCTCGACGCGCGCCAGGCCGCCACTCCTCCTCCTCCTCCCCCTCCTCCTCCCCCTCCTCCTCCTCCTCCTCCTCCTCCTCCTCCTCCTCCGCCTCCTCACGCGCGAGGAGGAGGAGGAGGAGGGGGAGGGGGAGGGGGAGGAGGAGGAGGAGGAGGAGGAGGAGGAGGAGGAGGAGGAGGAGGAGGAGGAGGAGGGAACAAATTCGCACAGACACAAGTCATCGTCAATCCCCCAGAAAATCTGGGAAAATATGGGGAGTGGGGGGGGGAAGGCGAAAAGACCCAGGAAAGATGGGAACATCTATGGGGAGTCCTGTCATTTGTGCGCGTAGTTATTTGTGTGTCCCAGGGCCCCTTCCTAGTAATCGACCCCCCCCCTCAAAAATCGGACCCCCCTCCAAATGCGACCTAGTATTCCGGACCCCCCGCTTCGACGGGGCGCCTTGATAAACTGGGCGCCCTAAGCTCCAGTCCAAAGAACGCGCCCCGATAAACCGGACCCCCGCAGTTACAAGAAAGGCGCTTTGAAAA